CCCCGAATTGGTCAGCGGTGCAAGAAAGTTTGTGTTGTAAAGCTTGTGCATATATTCATAGACGCCTCAGCTAATTTAAATGTATAAGCCTGAACTGCGTCGGTATTAGCACTTCTAGTATACAGCATCTTAAAAGTAGTGGTTAGAAACCCGTTTGCATAAACCCTAGTGTAAAGTAGTTGCAGACCATTTTTGTACGTTTTGACAACTAGGCACACAAAATGTAACGTTAGAGCTGTTCAACCTGGGTAGATGTTCCTACAATTTGAGGGTAATGTAACGTAAGCTGGATCTTATAAACGTTCCGGCGACATGGGAGTCACATACCCAACAACTGATGAAAACCATAAATGCTAGGATCCAGTGGTTACTCTGCGCATGCATACGCGACATTCACCGCGAAACCATATGCGTCCTTCTTGCTTCGTTAGGAAAACGAGTGCAATTAACAATTTACAAACACTAACCAAACGCCGCTTAGTATTCCACTAGATTTTAGACACTAATGTATCTGTGCAGAAATAGAATAATCCTTACTCAGTATTTGGTGGACGTTTAGTTTGTGTGTGTGAGAATGTATGCGAGAGGTCGATGAAACCAATTGGAAAATTGCACCAACTCAATGTAATCAGGTACCGACAAATAAATAGCGTGGTCACGTACAGCCAGCCTAGGTCAGTATTAGCTGATACTTCGTGGGTCCCTTGTTAGACACCAAAGGTCACGCTTTTATACAATATTTGCAATCGTACTGCAGCTTCAGGGATGGTAAATTTGTTCCGTTTGATAGAGCTTATCAGGCAGCGCATCCGCTTGATGCACTTATCTAGGGCCAGCTACTGATTAAATTCACTATGGACAACGAAACGGGCAACACTGCTCAGATTTTAGAATTGAAGTGGAAAAGAAAACTAACTGGCACTCACACTGCAAGCTCCCTCAGACGGGACAGTATCATAACGTAAACAGTTTCGGTCCATTAAGTAGAAACGAGTGCTTGGCCAGCTCCCTTTTGCATGAGCTTGTAAAGCTTGCTCCGTAAAAACAATTAATTTTTGAAAGCTATCTCAACAATAATACGAAAATCTAGTATCCGGTGGCCTAAGTCGTACACTGCCTAAAAGTAAAACTATTAAGAAACGAAGGACTGACGTTTCTAAGGAGAGGATATTTATCAAGCTGCTATTAAAAGGAGAGCAAAATGACTGACAATTCTGATATCCCTTAAATAATACTGCTGTATTACTGTCCATCACATTACAAAGTGCTCTGCAAGTTTGGCCTGAACGCTCCAGTCGCTAAAGGTAGCGCATTTCGCATCTACCTTTTTCGTTAAACACGTTGTACCAGGTGCGCGAGACAAAATTGGGGGAGGATGACTGGGATTAAATCAGTACCTATCCCACGTAACCTTGCGACCCTTGGCCCTTACCTTTCCTCTAGCTCCATCGCTTGCATACCGTTAATGTCCCTAGGTTCTAACAACTACGGGAATTGTTCAAGTTCTATGACTTTCAGAGCGAAGCACGTCAGCTCCGGTTTGCAGTGACCTCAACGATTCTTCATCGGAGACCTAATTTATGTAAGCAAACGAAGTTTACGCTAACTTTCGCCTTGCTATGGTCAATCATGGGGTACCTTCATTTGAACCAACCGATTACACGTCATAACTTACCGGTGTGCGTAACCTAATGCTTCCATGCGCTGCTTGTGGAATACATAAAATAATTAAACGCAGTTTAGTTTACCATAATATTCTTGCTTCTTGGTATTTTAACGTTAGTGAATACAAAGTCCTGTAGGAAAATTTTCAAAAAACGGGTCAGCCTTACCATCCAACACTGCGTACAACGATACACAGACAAGTCACAGGACCCGTGCGACGAACGGGCGTAATATTGCAGCAATGACACAGCCGCACACTAAGGAAGCGCCAGGTAACCGCCTAAAGAGGTCATCTTACTCACCTCAAGGGGACGTAATATCGGTTACCTTACCCCGCAGAACAGTAAAATGACGAGTCTGCCCCACTACCAGTTTCATCGTCAACGCTCGGGTACAGCTTGTTTGAATAGACTCTTAAACAAGGGACCTACACATAACGGAAGACCTCAACTGCCTTCACCGCTTGCATATGGAAAGCTAAGCTTACAGCTTTACGACTGAACGTCGATTGTAGTGTAAAAAGCTGTGAAAAATTGATTTAAAAAATAGCGCATTACTGGTTGCAAAATACCGGGTGAATTCGGTCACTTCAGGCTAACCCGACCTAAAAACAATGCTAACGTTGGGTCCGGTTGGTTAAGCATTGGATGTACGGCCATTCCGCCCGTCATTTATATAGTTATGTTGCAGCACTAACTAGCACCGATTGTACAGCAGGTAGACGCCAAAACCAATGCTTCAATGAAACCAGACGAAGCTGTTCCTCGAACGTTATGCCCAACATCAAACTCCGAGTAAATAAATAACAAAGGAAAGACAAGCTTTCAGCGCCATTTCACACTGCATTTACCAATTTACTTATAGCTGCGAGTCACGCTACATAGGCCGAACCGAAAGAATGTTGAATTCCAGAGTAAGTAAACATGTGTCCAAGTGGGTGCAGCGTGAAATTATCAAGTCTTTCGCTTCGTCTACCACCTGTTCACGAAAGCCGCCTGTCTCATCCATAGGTAGATTTTTATTGTCTACTTGTCATCCATTCGGCCCCAGCACGTAGTTTACAATCATGTTGAGACATGCTAACAGACGCATCCTACAGTTCGCCGAGGCCGTCGCGATCAGCAGGATCAAACCGGCATTCTGTGTGTAAAAACAGCTGTTTGTAAGCTTAAGGCTCCCATGGACGTAGGGGTGGCATATCTGCACCCCACCTCGGCTCTATTTCATCCGGTCACACCATATCTGTTGTTATATATTTTTTCCTGTTATTGTATTGGCACCGAAGAGACAATACGAAGTGTTAACATCTGCCAGCTTTCGTCTTCTCACAACCTTGTTTAATATGCTCAAGGGAACTAATTGTTTCATATGAATAATTAAGTTTATTCTCAACTTCTGCCAAGCACACAAAATATTGCATGATCAATAGTTCCAGCATTTATGGTTTGCAACAGACCTGGTACTAAGCATGTAATCGGCTATGGCCAAAAGTAGTAAATTTGCATAAATGGAAGTCCTCATGATTAACAAAGTCGTCAGTACCTTGAGGCTCATTTGGTATCATGTGAGTATAGTAATCATAAATATCACATCAAGTGAAGGGGTGACGATATATAAAGAGAGTGAGCGCCTTTTTATACTATGATTTGTGCAAATAATAACTTGGTCTCTAGTTAAATTGACTGTGTACTTGTGGACATTGACTTTATTCAGTAGCTAGTCAAATCGGCCACGTCGCAGTGTTGTTAAACGGACTATTATGAAAGTTTATAATGGGAACGCGTTCCAGGCGTGAACCCATCACCTCCTGGAACATTGCTGTTGATCCTTTCAAACTGTAGGGTACAGCTGGTAACTCAGCTTATAGGCCAACTATACGCTCGGTTCTTCGCAGTCGATTATTCCCACGTTTCTCTGTGGTCTAATTAAATGGCTGTCAGGGATCACCGCCGTTGTTGCGGCCGTGTGAGAATGGAAGAATCATGGATGGTCGGGTGTTTATTTTTGCTGGTGTGTTGGACTTTCAACGTAGCTGAGGTCTGCTCTTGTATAATTCACTTAGGTGTAAAGGCATGGTGTCCAACATTTCACACTGGACGTCACGCATGGTGGCGAGTGAAATTGAGTCAAGTTGATGTAACGCCATGGTTCAGGTAAGTGCGTGTTAATAATTTCATCGCACCTCAGGCGGAAAGACAGTTCCTCAGTTCAATCCCGGATCTTCAAGAACCTCCCGACCGCGGAGAAAAGGGCAAGAGTAGAACAAATCAGGCCGAAGGTAAAAGCAGCGAAGTAGCATTGAGCATTATGTTACTGGGGGCGGTTCCTAGAGATGTGTTCCCAACAGTGCGTCATTAAAGCTACACGGCTCATCGCACAATGTTTTGGGACCAACAACCTACGTCTCCGCCGTTGTCGTCAGTCTGACGGTGTCACGCTGCATCATAAATTGGACCACTGACAAAATGATGCGGTTGATGCCGTCAATACTAAAGCTAAATTTAATACGTCATTTGTTGTCTCACCAACTAAAGAAGCCACACAGTGGTAAAACACGGTGAGCACTAGTCATCGCAATTCTGACTACTATATGCCCTAAGTTGCGTGAATCCGAGGCAAACTCTATCAAACACAAAATGCCAGACAACAGGAAATGGTGGAACGCTATGTCAACTAACAGCTAAGGTGGCTAGTATCATGAGCCTTGTCCGTCACATAATCTTACACTACGGTAAACCGCTGCTACTCCAACTAACACTTCAAGCACGACGTGGTGCAGATGAAGTTCTCTTGGTGGACACTAGTCTTCACGCATCCTATGCACTGTTTGTATTTATCCGTGCTTTCCATGGAGCAAGCCGTTTTCACCACAATCTCAATGACTTTTAAACGTATAATGCAAATTTGATTTGATATAAGGGATATAAGGGATAACATGTATAATTATTAAAAAGCGAATTCCGATCCGCCGCGTTCGGCAACTGTCCATTGTAATAACAGAGGAATTTCGTATCAGCGCCTTACAAGCGACGCCCACTTAAAAATGAGCATGGTAAAACCAGCAGAGAGGTCGGTACTTGCTAGCTGCGTAGCATAGTGGGAGAGCAAGCGATCTGCCCCGGACTGCAGGTGACAGTGGGCGGCGTGTGTCACACTTGTGCAAAGGTTAATCTTAGCGTTACCCTAACTTGTCCCACTGAGGTTACTTACAACACATTTATCTAAGTGACCAGGATGACCACCCATTCCATGTAAAACTACTGTGCGCTTTCTTTGGGCTAAATTTGCGGCCCTCACGCGCGTATGCTGCCCTTATGCAAGGCGAATATTTTGTTGGCGCCCCGGGTAGAAGTAGGAATTGCTAGGTAACTGGTACGTATCCAGAAATGCTAATGGTTAACAGCTATGAAATAGCTATACGTGTGCGTCTTTCAATGATTGTGTTAAACTTGCAATGTAACTTGAATTTATTTGCCTGACACGACATTTTTATTGTCTTTGATCTGGGCGACAGCGCAATAAAGCATAAGCGCACCGTTTTGAAGTGGACGGTTGATCGCCGTGGAGAAGGCGATTGGCAGTAACTCTAGTTATTGACGAGTCATTCACCAATTCGCAGTGTTGTAAAACAGACAGTTGCTAATTTTATAGGGAAAACGTTTGCCAGGCGAAAGCCCTTAGCATGCTGAAGCACTTCCGCCGAACCATAGATGTAAACATTGGGACAGGGTAAAGCAACGCTGCTCTTCTGCTGCAGCCTCAACGCGGAATACCTCAATGAACAGAAAGCGCAAGCCCAGTTCGTCAGCCATTACGGTTTCATGTTTAACTTTGCTAAATGAACCGCCAGCTTAGCACCCTCTTTAAGTTGATATCGTTATTAAGTTTGGACTATTCGGCCGTACTACCGCACTCCATCTAGGCTCTTGCATTACCAGCGATGGCGATTCTAAATCTCACACGTTATTGTGCGTGCGCTGTTTGAACCAGTCAGACGAACGCTTAGCAATACTTTCTACCTCTCGCATTGAACACTTGTGGTGCACACTGTTTTTAAGTTCGCAGCCTTCGCCCATTCTTTGTAAAAAGCATGATGTGTATTTACATTACCATGCACTGTCGGTGTGCGCACGCAACTGCGTGAGGACAGAGCTTTTAACCCGGTAACCTGCATGCGACTGCAAAAGATAGAGGCAGCGACACAGCAAATGTTCGCTGAAACCTTAACTTGGCGCCTAAGCAATCAAGCTTGGATCAAGAGATGGACTCACCATCAACGCTTTCATCTGACCTGAGTGGCGCGTGTAGCCGTTCGCAGTGCACAAAGACGATGGCGAAATGTGCTATTAGATGCTTACTATATGAATTGCATGTTCAAACTGCTCTACTACTTTCTATGCCGAATGCTGGAAAAGCAGGACATGCTAGTTAAGACTAACAGCAGCAGGTCGGAATCCTTTCTGTTCTGCGTAAAATATAATAACCTCCCATTAGGTAAGGCCATAACTGCATTGTTTAAGCGGCATGGTAGGCTAGCCGTAGAAGTTAAGTGCACTTTGTGCACCTAAATAGCTTTGGGGGAACAAGTATAGTAGGCTGTCTGACACAGGATGCTCCACCAAAACCCGAGGTAACACTATTCCACAAGGCTGGCTTTTATACCGACAGAGTGCTTCCTGCAAGCACTGCCGCTGTTGCAAATTGCTCATGCTTTCCCGACCACATCATCATTAACCTGCTTGCAAACATTCCAACCTTACCCAATTCCTCACCCTAGGCTTTGCTGTAACTCATGACAAACTCGATAGCAGTAGCAGCTGCGCCGCATTTGTATCTACCAACACTCCAAAGCCAGCAGCTGCCGTTATTATTATCACATCTGAAAATACGATGAAACACAATGCTGCAATTGTACCTAGCAAATCAACCTGTCTCCAAACCATTACCAATATTTACATTAAAGACGTCTAAAAGCACCGGGTTTCCCCATCGATTGTATGTACCAACGCTCTGGAGTCAACAATACGTTGAAAGGAAACCAGGTGGATGACCTGAGCCAATGGAACGCCATGAGAAAACAACGCGGTATTTTGACTAGGCGCATTTTGACGCTGATTACGCGCCACCCGAATCCCAAGCACTTTGGTGTAGTCAGAATTCTTTGGAGGTGTTAAGTTCTATGGATGATGTAGAGAAAGCTTGGCTTTCGACAGCTGGTCTGCAGAAATGTTCCGATTTGAGCTGCGTCATTCTAAACATTCTATGTGGCAAGCAAAAGCGAGGGAAGCAGAGTTTATAAGAGTTTCGCCTCAACACATTAGCTAGGACCGTTGTTTCCATGGCGTCCTCTAGTCTCATCAGCTCAATGGATGCGTAGCCGCGGCTCACTACCAGGAACAGTGCCGCTATATTCGTGAAAACCAGCTAGTAGGTAGGAAACAACGTAAAACATATTTCTAGTATGCACAAGGCCCACCAATGAAGGAATGATCCGTTGTTGACAGTCAGCAATGTGTCGGTCACAGTTTGCTCGTTGCTTATTTCTGATAGACAGATATTTTGACAGTTTCAAGCCATTCGGCTCTGGTGTTGCCACGCAGGCATAATTTTGCCAGTGGTAAAAATGTACAACGATATATCGTTCACAAGTGCGAAAATCTTTATGTTTTGTTGCGTTGCAAACAACCCGATTGTTGGCTTGGTGCTTATACTCTCTTGGCCCCATATACTTAGCTTTATCTGGTATACATGTGCCTTTCGCTATTGTCAACACTAGTAGACAGGCATAAAGAAAACCAGATCCTCTTCTTTAACTGCTTTTGCTCGTAAAACACTCGCGTTTCCAGATTTCATTTCACTGGCACGAAAGCTAACCAATGACAGAGAGGCCCCTGTCACACTGGCTGGCTGGAACACCAGAAACTTTCCATCACCACTTCTCTTATCTTGGCCGTCCGTGTGTCATTTCTCTTTTAGCTGGCTCCAAAGCCTACCATGCGCTATGCGTAATGGCGGGTGAACGGCCAGCTCCCACTGGTTTTTGTTACTATTCTACTCCTGATTTACCTTATCGCTCTTTGCTTAGGGTGCCAGAACAGCTCTTGCCAAGAAAATCACAAAAGAAATAGTCGGTGTGACATTAGAGTACCAGTTAGCATTGCCAACTGGATGAACACCGCCTGCACTATCTTCGGAACTTAAAAATGGAGAGAAATAAAGCGAAATTCATCAAAGAGCTGCACAATAGTGTGCATCTACACATGAGGCACAACAATACCTCAAGTATGAGCAAGCTCAACCACCAGAAGTAGAGTTGTTAAAGCCCCACCAATGTAGACCAAAGCGGATTTCACGCCCAAATGCAATTAGCTAAATTTTACTAAAATTTCCCATCCTTATTTCTTTATTATTGGTGGCAGGCTCCTATAGCTCACTGACGTTAGAGACAGAGCCTCATGAATATAGAAAATCGGCTCTAAGGGATAAATCTTGTGATGTTTAGCTAAGTAATGTGTGTCTTTTGTAGGCCGAAATCTGTCAACGGATCTGAAAGATCCCCTGGGTTACTCAGGTAGACCTGGCTCATGCGGGCTTGTTGTAAGCTTTAGAAAAGCTTAGAGGCTTAAAAAATGCTAAACTCTATTCTACTGGTTGTTTATGGGGCTCAGTATCCACTGAAAATGGTATGCTGTGGCCCTCTAGCCGTGAGTTAATTACAAGCTCCCCTGAATTCCCATGTAGATATAATATTCCTTGCTGGATTTCTAGCGTTTTCGCGCAAGATCATCCCTTATCTGCATATATTTGTCATGTATGCCTGCAAAGTTTACTTTTCGGCCACCTGCGCAATCCGTAGTTGTCGCAGCGTATTACGGGCTAATTAAAGCATTACTGGATAGCTATGCCTATCAAGAACATACGCCGCTTCCCTACTTTTTATATTTTCTTTTCTTTTTTCTGCTATCTGCTTGCAAAGCAGAAAGCCATTTTTAGCGAAAAATAAAAATGGCCTTATTCGTAGACCATCATTTAATTGCGAATAACTCGCAAACTACTGCACGTATTGTGTTGCTTTTACGTTCAACGTATTCAGGCGCTAAAGCTGGTCCAGACCAGTGTAATTTTGTGCCACTTTAAGCGGTATTCTAACTGTAGAAAGACTTTTTCTTTTATCTGAGAATAACTCAGGTTGAAATTTTGCGCCGGAGAGCAATATCAGCGTATGAAAAGTAGGGCTGTATTTTTTGTTAATTGGTATTTTCCGACTGAAACACGCAGCTTTATTTTCTCTCTTAACAAATTGTTTCTATTTTGTCCGCATTTATCGGAATTGTTTTCAACTTTTCGTATGCCTTATAATCCCTTCACTCGTTTCTTCCATGTGCGCACAATTGGGGCAACGGAGTGGCCAATTAATGTGCGATCAATTTAAAGTGCACTTCGGCGAATTGGATTCTGTTCCAAGGAGAAAAGGCACAACTACACCTCCGCGAAGTTTTCACAAAAGAACAAGGAGTTCAATATCACCCGCAGGAACCAGAAACATGTCAAGGTGGGCGCCTGCGACCCAGTAGCTGTATATCAAACAATGCCAATGCATTTGTAACTGCTGACGATGAACATATACTTATATTTTACCTACTTCCGTGCAAGAGCATCGGATTTATGTAAGCATTGATCTGAACCCTTTAGGGTACAGCCTCTAGCAGGTCTAGAAATATACCTATTTATTTATTTATTTATTTATTTATTTATAAGTCGTATGACGCTTTTCTTTAGGTTTCCTGTCCGGTGACTTCGTCATTTTGCCAAAAGTCGTAACTGGCCTTACTGCTGGAAACGTACAGTTTTGTAGAAAGTAATGAACAAATCACTGAATTAGTTGCCATAAAACCTTTTCAGAAATTTACAGCTATCTAGGTAGACGTTGGCAATACCATATTCTTGTAAATAGCTTGTAAATCATGATGGTCCGAAGCTGTCCCCCGTGACCTAGTGGCATAAGCTGCTGACTGGCGGTTCAAGCCGCTGGTGGTCATGGGTTCGAATCCTGATGGATCCGATGAATGCGCGCTACTGATGATGCCCAACAAGCTGAAACTGCAGTCTAGTGCCTTTCCGGGCATGTGGACGACTATCTGATTTGGAAACTGGCTGCGATGAACCTCACTTAAATACCTTATTCCTTACTTGAAGTGGCTGGCAGCTTGGTGTAACGTAGCTGGGTTAAGCAAAGTGTGTGAATATGGTTCAAAGCATTAGCGTGGGTACATTGGCATTTGTGAGGCTTGAGGATGGAAACAAGTGCTTGCTCGCTCACTGAAGGTTATTGTGCCAGCGGAAGCGCTCCGTCTACGGGCGATGAATCTCCT